ACAGCCTGTGACGGAGCACAGAGAGAAAGGCTGCAGGGCTAGAGGTGCTGCAGGGTAGATGATGGTGGTTACTGGAGCAGTCAGGGCACAGCCAGGCATAGGAACCAGGACCCATTCTGCTCTGTTGTCAGACACCACGTGACATGTTACAGACGCTGAACAAGAGAGAGCAGACATGCAGGTAAGACTAGTGTCCAGCTGTCAGAACCCAGGAGACAGCAAAGGAGAGGGCACATGTGTGGATAAAAAGAGGAGGGTTAGAGGCCAGAGGACAAGCTAAGAAAATGATTATTTGGACATCCTACAGGTACTTTCAGCACAATGTATCTAAAATCAGCCTGTCACAGTCCTTCCAATGATCTTCCTTGTTTCTGTTAATGACAAGATACGTCCTGTCACCCAGGCTTGACATTCCAGGGTTTTGTTTGCTTCCCTTTATCTTTGCACCTAGTCAGTTACTATGACTCTAATAATTCTACCTCCACTTGGAAAGGTCTTGGAGCTCAAATCTTGGCCCTCCCACACATAGGACCTAAGATAAAGGTCTTGGGGTTCAAACCCTGGCCCTCCCACACATTGGACCTAAGTAAGATAAAGTCACTTAACCTCTCCAACTAACATGGAAGATGACAGCCTCACAGGGTCGTCATGAGAATCAGAGGTGAAATGAATAAAACCCTTATAACCTGTCAGCCAAACTACTGCAAGATTATTCACTGTCAAAGGACAAAATTGCACCAGTTTAGTTTACAAATCTTAATTGGCTTTATTTGCAATTCTAAAATTGGGCAACACTTGATTCCATAAATTGAGCTGAGCAGAGGAGGTTTTGTAGACAAAAAACGTCTAAAGGCAGCTGGGCGCAGTGGCTCACACCTGTAATCCTAGCACTCTGGGAGGCCGAGGCGGGTGGATCGTTTGAGCTCAGGAGTTCGAGACCAGCCTGAGCAAGAGCGAGACCCCGTCTCTACTAAAAATAGAAAGAAATTAATCAGACAACTAAAAATATAAAGAAAAAATTAGCTGGGCATGGTGGTGCATGCCTGTAGTCCCAGCTACTCGGGAGGTTGAGGCAGAAGGATTGCTTGAGCCCAGGAGTTTGAGGTTGCTGTGAGCTAGGCCGACGGGCAACACAGTGAGACTCTGTCTCAAAAAAAAAAAAAAAAAAAAAAAAAGTCTAAAGGCGGCAGAAATGAAGAAAAGCAGATGGGTCATTTTAGAGCTATTTTCCTGGTAAGGCAGGAACTGGGAAACAGCAGTAGAGAAATAACGGATTGGCTGACATTGAGTTACTCATGGCACCTCAGCATGGGTGATGACTCCACTTTGGTTTTTAGTCTGGTCTAAGTGCCCAGTGTGGGGAGCTCAGTCCAGAACAGTAGACTCCTGTAGTTTTTATTTAACACCGGATTGAATTTAGCCTCCCCACCTCTTCCAGTTAGATCTTTTAATGACATACCTCTGATCATGTCATTATCCCACCTCAGAAACCTTTACAGCATCTTCATTAACTGTTGGAAAAAAGCCCCAAGTTCCTAGCCTCATTTTGAGGCCTCTTCACCGTCTGGCCCCATTCTGCATTTCTGGTTCCATCCCCTGATACTTCCCCTCATCCCCCGTGTTAAGCCAGATTGAACTACCACTGGCTATCTTCAGGACAGGCCCCTGTCCCAGTGGCCTTGCTCATACTTGGAATTGTCTTTTCCTCGCCTCTGAGGCTCCAAATCCTCATTGTCCCAGTCCCTGTCCAAACGCTGCCACCTCTATTGCAGGTCCCTACCAACCCACCTCAGCCCCAGGCTTCAGTGGTATCTTTCTTCTCTGCACTTCCATAATTCTTTGGCGGAGCTCTTGTCATACGTATTGCTTTATGCTTTGTGTTATTTGAGTACACGCCATATTTAACCTCATGTTCCGAGTCCTGGGGAGTTAGTTCTTCCTGAGCACTTAGCAAGCACCCGTATGTGTTGTAGGCAGTTACGAGCAGACCAGGCAAGGGGATGACAACAAGCTGATTAAGAGTTGACGGGTCCCTTGGAACTGGGAGGGCAGGAAAGCAGCTACATAACAGTGGCTTAGAAGATCAGGACAAGTAATTTTCTGATGCCAGCCAAGAGCTTTTCTATGGTTCTTGTTAAGGTGTGAAGAGGTAAGGGAACTAATTCGAGTGGAGGTTATATGCCAGTCACGGGTCAGTCTAGGTGTTTTACACGTATTCCCTCATTTGAACTCTGGTCGGATGACAGTCTTCCCTTCTGCAGTATTGTCCGTTGACTTCTTGTTACGCTTATCCAAACTCTGCAAGTAGCCCAGCCCTACAGGATCCCTAAATCTGGCTCAGCCGACTCCACACTGTACTGCCTCCTCACCTTACCAACTCCTTACTCCACCCCTTCCTTTAAAGCTTTGCCCATGAATCCCAGTTTTGTCTTCTTCCTTTTTAACCTTGAAACCCACCCCTGTTGTGATAACAACAGTGAATACATTGCTTTTGTGTGGTTCTTTATACTTTTCCAAAGCACATTTTATCTGATCTTATTCCATAATTTTTCAGAGATGAGAGTATAGAGGGAATGAAATACCAACAAAACTTGACAATTTATCAAATAACAACGTCTTTGCCAAACATCGTAATGCCAGTTTTGGGACTAGCCCATACTTCCTTTAAGCCTTAGATATGTTCCATAAAGATTCCTTTGAACAGGGTTTTATTAATCACACTCTATTTAAAATGCACTACGAAATTTCTTGGCTCTTTGGAAAGAAACAAGAAACTGTTAGTTCTCATAACCACTGTGGGGGAGGTAACTTACTTTCCACCATATATCCTTTTTGTACCTTCACTTTTTTTTTTTTTTCTCAAAGAGACAAGGTCTCACACTGTCACCCAGGCTGGAGTGCAATGATCATAGCTCACCATAGCCTTGAAGTCCTGGGTTCTAGCAGTCCTCCCGCCTCAGCCTCTCGAATGGCTGGGACTATAGGCGTGCACCGCCACACTGGCTAATTTTTAAGTTTTTTTGTGGGGATGGGATCTCTCTGTGTTGCACAGGCTGGTCTTGAGCTCCTGGCCTCCAATGATCCTCTCCTGCCTAGGCCTCCCAAAGTGCTGGGATTACAGGCGTGAGCCACTGTACTCAGCCCCTTTAAATTTTTTTTTTTTTAATTACATGCTTGTAGTATCTATTTAAATTAGTCTTACATATGTATATTCTGGGGAATGCTATTCTTCTTATTATAATTTTTTTCAAAAAGCAATTATGGGGGGAGGGGGGAGGAGGGGACAGGTATTTGCATACACAAAGAGTGCAATGCGCACCATCCAAGGGATGGGCACACTTGAAACTCGGACTTGGGGGGGGGAGAGGGAAGGCAAGGGCAACGTACATAACCTAAACATCTGTACCCCCATAATATGCTGAAATGAAATAAAAAAAAAAAAGGCAATTATACCATATTGGACAATTTGGAAAATAGAGGAAGAATTCCAAATCCTACAACAATCCTAAAACAACCGCTTAGAATTGCCATTTAAAAATGAATTCTGGATTGAATGTCATGCTGTACTATTAAAAAAATGAATCCTAGAATGAATGTTTTGTAAAGCAACCTGACATTCCATGTGAACCTTTTCTGTAAACAGATATTTATTTACAAATATGATTTTTATAGTAGGATATGCCTTTAGTTAATGTTGTTAGTGGAAAGGCTTTTGTATGTATAAAGGTTGTTCATCTTTTCTCTCCATTTTGAGAAGAATAAAACAGGACTTCATAAGTTTCTGAATAAAACATAAGTTGTGAACTTTGAAAAAAGGAGAAATAACAACCCAGTCTGAGCCAGGCTCAGTGGTGCTCACATGGTGCTCAGGAGGCTGAAGCAGAGGATCCCTTGAGCTCAGGAGTTCAAGGCCAGCCTGAGCAACATAGAGACCCTCTTCTCAAAACAACAAAACAAAGAACAACCCAGTCTCAGCCTGTGGGTCACCTAAACTGTACAACGCTTGCCTCTCCAGCCCCATCTGTGTTGACACACATGCATATTACTCAGCAAGGACAATTGGAAAGAACAAAGGAAATAGATAGAAATGCAGAGGCAGAATGGTCAGGACTTCACGGTTGGTTGGATGTGGGGAATAAGGGTGGGTAAGCCAAAACAATCAGACTTCAAGTATGATCAGGACACTGTGAGAGGTTAAAATTCCTGGATTCAAATCCCATCACCACAGTTTATTAGCTCTCTGTTCTTCGGTAGTATTCTTAATCTCTGAGTCTCAGTTTTCTCATCTACAAAATGGGGATAATTTAGCGCCTACTTCAGTTAGGTTCTTGCAAGGGCTTAAGAGAGAGAATCCAAATAAAGCACTTAGCATAGTGCCTGAATAGCAGAAAAGGAGGAGCAGGGAGGTGGTGGGAGATGTTAAGAAAGACGATTTCAGCTTAGAGGAGCTGAACTTTGAAGCAGCCAAGGGAAGTGTCCTTAGCAGTATCCAGAAGGCAGAAATGTGGGCCTGGGCTAGAAGGGGAGTCATGTGGGCTGCTGCTGCAGGGGTAAAGATTTGGGGGCCCTGCCACTAAGTAGCTTTGCATTCATTCTCTGAAACTCGTTCTTAGATGGTTTGACTGAACCTGTGAAAATGTTTGATCACCTGAAGAAGCTTGGGCTGCTTACCTTTAGCTCATTAGAGTGTGCTTGGCTAACTGGAGTGTGTCTGTGCTTTTCCAACCACTGGCGCCAGTGCTGCTGCCTGTGTTTGTACTATTGTGCTCTGGGGTGTCCAGGCCGGAGGGAGGGAGGTGTAATCCTGCTGTCTTCTGGGCTGCAGCTGAATGATCTAGCAGTGTTCCTGCCTTGGGAATGTTGGCCTGCCCCTTGATGGGCAGGTCTTGGTATTGAGTGTTTAGCCGCTGTGGAAGTCAAACTCCATGTGGTCAGTGTAATTTTGTGTTATAAGGGCTGTATCCTGGGGTTACTTAAAAAAGTTTTTTTTCTTATTGCAGATCATCAATGCCGTGGTACTGCTGATTTTACTGAGCGCCCTGGCTGACCCGGATCAGTATCACTTTTCAAGTTCTGAACTGGGAGGTGACTTTGAGTTTATGGATGATGCCAGTAAGTCGTAGATATTTTGGTATTTTCTAGGGCAGGGAATTTGATTGTTAGTCCTTCCTATTAAATTACAAGTATTGATTCATGGGCCCAATGGAGCTGATACTTTTCTTTCCATCATTACTAATCAACAAATATTTATGTGCTTCCTAGTTTTGCCTCTGTTCTAAGTGCAAGAGTCTAAGATCTCTCTTTTTTTCATCTTACGTTAACTCACCCATTTTTAAAATTACTTCTTTGTCATAGACTTTTTACCTTGGGCCTTTTGGCCTTTGTAGGAGGAAAAGGAATAAATGACAGGGAAGATTAAAAGGATCATGCATATCTCATTGTGTATTCTGTTTTTCAGCATTTACCTTCTAGAAGGTAGTCATTTTCCATTCTAGAAATGATGTTGCTGGTTATTTGGGGAATCTAGGGCCTTTTTTCAGTATATGGAAACATGCACAAGGACATGGGTGGATGTTGGATAAGCAGGGAGGAAGCTAGGCACCCAGCTCCAAGATCACTGCAATCTGAACATTTTGTATCAGAATCATGCCTTGTCCAAGCTAACTGAGAGGGATGCTGCTGTGTTAATCTCAAATAGAATATTAAGCAAATTCCTCTCCTCTCCTCCCCTCCCCTCCCCTCCC